CGCTAGGAAGAGGCGTGTACTACAGAGTATATAGCTAGAGCCTGCGGCCCTCCACGCCACATACCCTTCGGGAGGTCTGCCGCAAGGGCGGCCGCGCCCTTGCCGCCATGGCGTTAAATATTAAACAAACAAACAAACAATTCCCCCGTGCCCGCCAATTCGAAGGAAGAACGTTTAATGAGTCGTGGTTTCTTAGTCACTTAGTCACTCATGACTAGTTTGAGCAATATTGTACGTCACCTCGGTATTCCTAGTGCAAAACCAAGTCCTTAAGGAGGCAAGTCCGTCCATGAAAACTCCGGTCGTGTCCACTCAAACGTGTCCAGCAAATCAAAGTTGAAGTCCAAATGTGTCGAGAAATCCCATTCCAAGAAATCAGCCAACGGGTCATCCCGGCTAGGCGCTACATTGAGCACCTGATCCAACACCCTTTGCACAATGATCTTGCAGTTGGCGCAGATGTTGCCGTTTGCCTCCTTTGGACTGACCCAGTTTAGGAACCCAACAAGCAGACTGAGCAGCTGAACGATGCTAGACCGGGTGACACTCTCGCCATTGGCACTAGTGATACCATTAGGTTCGTTGAGGGTAACAGTCGGTTTCAGGAGCTCGAGACAGAGGATTCCTCCGCCAGGGGCTGCATATGCCATAACCTTGGAAGGCGCGTAAGTGTCTTTCTGCACACGGTGCGAGGAAGAGGTCATTTACTCACCAACCACTTGAAATCCTCGTACACCATGGCGAGACCATCCATGTTCGTCCAGAAAAGCATGGTGGTGGTGGTCAAGTCGTAGCTCACGGCGAGAAGATCCTTCTCGTTGGCACAACCGTGGCGGCACAAGAGTCGTTCTATGAAGAACAAGTTTTGGAGATGCTCCAGGCGCATGAGGATTCTGGGGTAGAGCATGTCGGTACTGACGTCGGGGTCTCGCACATCCGCCTCCCTGAACTGCAGAACCGACGGCATGTCTGCTGCGGCCTGTAGTTCTCTACTCTTCAAAGCACTGGGCCCATGTAAGCTCGGCTTACCAGCTGAGTAACAGCATCCACTTACTAAAGAGTCTCCGCAGACGTAGCCCCCTCAACACCAAGCGAGATCTCGAATATCTCGTCTCGAATGATCATGAGCTGGGCGCGAGCCCGCCAGAACGTAATGGAGTAAGCTGCTCCGTCCGTGTTGTAACCATTGCTATCTAGAGAAGCAACCGCCCGCGTTAGCGTCTCCTCGTCTGCCACCAGGTAATCGTCCTTGAGATCCAGCGGCGGGGGTGTTAGCATGTAACGTCGGCTAAGCAGAGGAGGCCGTCCCGTTATCGAAGAGACAACCTTGTCGATCACGAAAATCTTGTATACGAGCCGTCTCTTGATTTCGCTTGCCAATGTTGGCTTGTAAACGCCTTTATTTGAGTTGACGTGTAGACCGAGGAAGGTCATTAGAGAGACTGCTTCACCGTTGTACATCCAGCATGACAGACCTATAGTTGGAGTCCGGTATGAGTGTGAAAGAGCATGAGGTGAAAGAGTCAAACCACTTACTAGTATCCCCGGACACAATAGACGCAACAATCGTACGCTTCCAGTACACATACAGCAGCAGAGTATTGCCGACCTCTGTAGCTCGTCTCGCCAAGGCTTGGCAGTCATTGATGCATTTTCTGTACACATCTCGTTGCCGAAACGCAGCGACTCGACCCCCTGGCGGAGGCGGCTTGGTCTCTGGGCGAACGAGGTGGTTGTTCCTAGAGCTCAGCTCCCAGTAAATGTAAAGTATCCCGAGCGTCTCCCATCTTATGTTCGTTCCAGTGAATTGGGCCACCCACTTCTCGGGATCGGCTTCATTCTCCGAGAACGGCCTCGCGGTGTTGGCGCACAGGATGCGGGTCAGCTCCGACAACTGGGCGTCGTCTCGAACCGTGCCGAGGTAGCTTCCGTACGTGGCATACAAAGAGTCGAGGGCGCGTTGGGCGACTGGACGAACAAAAGCGTCATGGGGATCGAAGTGAGCTGCGAAGAGCGCCTGACCTTTGTCTTCGGTGGGTATGCTCTGCAAAACGAAGAGACATGTCTCTAATGTTGTTGTTGACGGCGGCAGTTCAGTGATACCATTCGAAGGTGTTGCCAGAGTACTTCCGACTGTGGCAGCATCGGTTCTGGATGTTCCAGCTGCTCTGTTATCGTGGTCAGACAAGCTGTCTCCCACTTCTCTGTAGATATCGCCGAATGAGTTGACCCCAAGATGCCCAGAAGCTGTGACTTCAGCATGTGGGCTCCGGTGTTGATGAGTTTGGGAGTTGGAGTTTATAAGGTCGTTTCCGGCCGCACTTTGGTCTGATTGTGTGGGCTGTTCAACGGCAGTCGACCCAGTGAGATGCTGCTCCGGTACTCCGTCCGAAGTAGGAGGCCCTAGCTGACCCGGATCTCGTGCCGGCGTGCTGGGAGATTGCATCCGCGCCGGCGAGCCGGCCGTGTACTCGCATGTTCCGGCTTTCCTCCGTCTCCGACAACTGCCACAGATCGGACGGGCATGGTCACATACGACCTTTCGCCGGCGACAGGGGTCGCACGCCTGAAGGCGGCCGTTTTTGCGGTAGCGGAGCGGTGTACCCCGATCGGCCATATTTAAACGAACCTTCGGAAAGTGAGCAATGACGCCCAGACAATTGATTCCGAGACAGATGAATGAAGAGCAGAAAGGTTCGTCTGACCGATGTTGTGGACGTTGGAGGGGGATGATTAGGGGCGACTGGCCGAACTTTTGCAAGTTCGGCTTCGGTAAGCCCCGCTTTCTCGGGAAGTGAACTCGGTGTGCTAATTATGGTAGAGTGGATGGATGCTTCGGCTGATTTCCCATTGGCGCCAGGCCCTTACTATCCTGGCTGGCGCCACGATCATGATAGGAATACGTTTGACTGGTTGCAGTGCACGCATTATCAGCAACTAGGATTGGCTGCGAAAAGGGTTGCTATTTTGTAGAGGTATCGTCCCAATGGAAGCCCATATGTCATAGAACGCAGAAGAGCACTGGCACATTTGCAAACATGTGCTGAACAAAGCCAATCGATACTTGCGAAATGTGATAATTGCAGCGTAAATAGATACCTCACATACTATTGATTTCTGTGCATCGACCGTCAGCTAAATCATCACCGAAAGCCAAAATCTCAAACTCTAAGGTCTGAATGAGCGCACTTTTTGCCCTGCGCACAACATGACTTCAGACTCATATTCCGTTCAACGTAAGTATCTTTGGTGGATACAGCTAGTGTGTAAGCCAATTTGTGGTTAGGAATAATTGCGTCTACGCGACTGACCCCCCTCAGATGACCAGTTCGGGGTCATGGCATGCATGTATGCTTTGGAGCACCGCCTCCACCAAAAGGTTAGGCAAAGCACTGTTGGTTTGCACCAGGATGAGTTTGATCAATGCTCAAGCAGAAAGTCGCTTCCGTCATCTGGCTACTGACTTAGGCAGTTCAACATGTCATGATAGAAGCCATAACCTCAAGCACCTCGTTATTCTTGCATCAATGTCTTCTCCGTAGTTAACAGCACGTGCTTCAACAAATCCTGTAAGATATGAAATGATTTGGTATCTGGCGTTGGAGGCATTGTGAATAAGGCTCCGCGTGTGGAATACATGGAAGCGATTGCCACGATAATCGAGCCTGTGGAAATCCTCATGTGTCAAAGCAGATACCCCGGTTGGTGACAGCCATCGGACAGCCACATCATGAATATTGTTCAGACTCTGTTTCGACCGTGGCCCAGTTGACGGACTTCGACCACAAACATGGGCTGGTCACCAGAAAGGTTGTTAAGTGCGAACAGTCCGGCTTACCTACCCATAGACACTACTTGCTTGTTTTAGCTTATGTTCAGATCTCATAACTGAGATGAAATTCATCCGGCCTTTCATTCAGCTTGCTGAATGATGTAAAGTTTGGCGCATGCTACCTCCTGTACAGCACGACTGAGCCTAGACGAATGACTCCACCCGCACTTCTTCACGCACATGACTATTAACTTGATTCGTCCTCAGTTTTATGATATTGAAAGATGTAATCTTCATTACTCATTCCAGCCAGAGTACCGAAACATTTTATACTTATGAGCGCCATGGCCGGATCATTCTCACTGTATCGATAACCGCGCGGTCAACTAGAAAGCCTTCAAGTGCACCGTCCAATGTTGCTGATCAACCGAGAAGGAAGATAAAACTAAGAAGAGTCGCAGCGACTGCGGCTGTAGCACCATGGCCTGTGGAAACAGCACCACTCTTGTCGTCGTCGCCGTTCAACGAATCAGGCATCTCCTCACCCTCAGCGGTGAACGTCTTCATGCAGGTGAACTGCACCTCTGGGCTGTCATCGTTCTCATCGTCGTATAGAACGGTGAAAACGGGAGTTACGCCAGAGCGGCCACCCAGAGATTGGCCACTGTTATCTCCTGTGGTAAGAATCTGCCGCATCTCGGCTACCTTGCGCAGCTCGTAGCTCTCGGGCATGACGGGCTGGCAACCCTCGTTCTGGAGCTGGACTGGGCTAGGAGAAAGGTCCTCGCCAGAGATAGGGCCTGCGGTGATGTTAATGTGGCCGGCGAAGCGGTTGCAGAAGGACAGTTCGCGGTGGATGTTGGTGTTGAGGAACTGCGCTAGGGACTCGCATCGTGGCAACGAGGCGCTTCCGGTGTTGTTGCCCTGACCATTCGTAGTGTACCGGAATTGCTCCACCAAAGTTGCTATGTTGTTCTGACAACCGTCCGAAATAACCGAGTTGCAAGAAGTTGTATTTTGCGTGTTGTCTTCGGACAGCTCAAATGTTTGCTCCTGATACTGCATCATAAGGGCGCAGCCGGCCTCCTGGTTGCTGGAGTTGAAGTTGGCTGGCACGCCGACATACAGCGTCTGAGTTGAAAATTGATAGCCCTGCTGGCTAGCGAGGATGCCATCCGGGCTCCCATCAACGAGAGTAAGCGAAAGCTTCTCATCGGCGACGTCGAGCACTTCAGGCACCATTCCCACTCCAACAAAGCGGGATGAGTTGCCCGACGAGCACACACCCTGGCTTTCGGAATTGATGCATGAGAGGGCGCTGCACGACGAGATCTCTCTGTCCTGGGCCGCAACTGAGGTTGCCAGAGATATAGCAGCAAGGAGTCTTGTGTTCATGGTGATTTAGGAAAGAACAGTCTGAAAGGGTGGTTGAGTCGGACAATTGCTAAGTACGTACTAAGTCGGGTTGAATTGGTTTCTCCGTTGCAGTGGACTTGACGTGAGTTGCCCGCGCTATAGATAGTCTATATCCGACAAAATCTTCTGGGACTTGCCCGCTCTTAAGTCTTTCTCTTTTCCTGGGGTGAGATATGCTGTGTTTCCGTTTGGGTTAAAAGGTTCCCGGGGGTCTTTTGTGGTTGCGGGAACAAACATGATGTCACATCACTGCAGTGTGATCATTTTCGACCTCGACATTAGCGATTACCCCTCGCTTGGCGACAGCCTTGGCCAACGGCGAAGGTAGACAAAGAAGAATGATACGACAAAAGGTCCAACAAGCGGCAAATGAGATGCAACACCTCACAAAAGCAAACAGCAACATAAAACTCACCGAAATCTCTCCACATTACGTCAATTATCCGGTGCCCCCGACGGCACAGCAAGGCGGATTCCTTCCTACCTCTTGGCGCTCGGCTCTTGGCTCTTGGCTCTTGGCCCGTCCCGCTCCTTTTTCTCCGCGCCGCTCCCATGCAAGCCACCATCGCGAGCGTACTGCTTCAACGATCGGCATGACCCCTTGCAACTCATCCGTTTTGGTCACATCACTTTCCCGTTTTGGCATTGTTGTAGGCTCGTACCAACAGTTCACCCGGAATGTGGCCGTGTTGGAGGTGGTCAGAGAGGTAGAGAAACGTCTGAAAGAGCGTCCATCCTCTATTGGATCGCCTGATCGAGTCTTACCTAATCCCCTTGGAGTCGGGCGTTTCGACCCATGGTAACTGACGCAGGCAGTAATATCCAGCCGCCCGCTCATTTCAGATAAGTGGATAGACCGTTGGATCCACGTTATGGACCGTAAACGTGCACCTATCAGGAGGCTCTGAGGCCTCCTGGCGTGTGTGCCGCAAGATATGAGCACTCTGGTTCCAAAGTAAGTGGCCGGTCTTCTGAGCATTCACCACCAAACAACCGGCCATTTGTTTTGGCGACAGGGTGATGCGGTAGTGAACTGCTCAGTCTGAAATATTGTTCTATAAGCTTTCGAGATCGATGTCACGTTAAACGGCCCGTCGGTTTTGGACACAGCCGGGACTTATTTTGCTCATCAACAACATCAACTGATACGTGTTCGAGTTTTGAAACATAGCGAAGACTCATTCGTCAAACAAGAAGTGTGATAGCCGTTGTAAGAATACCCATCTGAGCGTCTGCTATAAGCGGCCTTAGTCGCTCTCGAAATGCGCCAACATCCTGTTGTTGCCTGGACGAGTGGGTCTTGGATGGTTACTTTGAAATCCCGTTGTATTAACCCTGTCCAATCGTACGTCCAGGGTTTACTACTTGGTTCTCCTCTAGTTCACTTGGCAGGTATAATGATTATTTTATGGGTTGAACATTCTCGAGATTCGTTGCGGCTCAGCAACAACTCCTTCTACAGAAGTTCCCAACGACTATGGAGCCCATTGAGCCAGGTTTTGAAGCCAGACTCTTCTTCTTTCGGAAGCTTGGAGGAGTTTCCAGCAGGCTCAGCACATTGCAGGATTCTCTACCGACTTGGCACAGACACACCGAATTCCAATTCTGGTGAAGATCTCGATCTTCATGGCACGGCCAACATAGACTGTGAGGCACGAGGCTGAATGCCATCGGGCGGAGCGGCGGAGCGGAAACACGCGGCTAGGAAGCCATGAAAAAAGTTACCAAAGTCAGTTCATTCTCATCTACGCCTTAGGAGGGGTCAAAGATCGAGTAGAGAATCAGGCAGCCAGGCTCGTCACGGCAATGTGTTGGAGTCGTTACTGCAACCTCTGTGCCTCTTTACCTCGTATTAATTGGGGGCGAGCTGTAATCCTCCATGTAAGCCGCTTCGCGATGGTGCCACTCAGTCAGCACAGCTAAGGTTGCTGAGCTCGAACAGTATTACCGAAATCAGATGTGATGGTGGACTAGATGGATCGAAAGTGTGAAGAACTGAGGACGAAGATTCCGCCGAACCTTTGGGCCTCCTTGTGGGAAGAGACGAGATATCTCTGGAATCGACTATAAGAAGCTCCTATTCCACCACCTTTATTCTCTCAAATGAGCAACTCGAGCATAACATCCTCAGTAGAACCTCTTCGCCCGCCAGTCTTCGGTTCTGAAGCAGCTTGCAAGTTCAGATCGTTCTTGAACCCTTAGGCCATCATTCACTACTATTCAACATGGCTACCGCTATCGGTGTCGTCGGAAGCGTCATCACCATCTTCTCTTTCCTCAAGGACATGTTCCCCGAGCCCGACAACCCGAGCGCCAAGTTCGCCTTCAAGATCGGCCTTGACGGAGCTGGTGATCCGCCCCTGAGCAACGCCGGCGGGAACATCCCCGACGTCCGCTGCTGGAACGAGCAGGGCGGGTTCCTCGGCATCACCACCAATGACAACAACAAGTGTGAGAACGGCGCCGACCTCTGCGAGACTAGCGTCTCGGATGTTGTCCAGCAGCCCACTTACACCCTTTTCACCGGCAACGACGATGCCATTTGCATTTCCTGGGCTTCCGTGACCTTCCCGGGTGGCCAGAACTACGCCAACACGATCGGCAACTGGGCTCAGAGTTGTGACGAAGCCTACGGAAGAGGTGGTAACTGGTCAGTAGCCCAAGCTCTCCAGCCTGTCCTCTGCATGCCACTAACATCCTATCACCAGGTACTACTCGGATATCTACGTCCCCACGGAGGACGGCCCTGACGAGACCGTCTTCTGCGCCTGGGTCGACAAAAACGGAGACGTCGACACCACCGGTATCCAGGTCCACTGGCCTGAATACTCCAAGGACTCCGGCACCAAGGACCTCGACTACTACTGCAACAACGACCCCGTCCTGAGATTCACCGAGGATCCCGACCCCTCCGACGTCATCTTCTGGACACGCAAGCGTGACCTCTTCAGCCAGCAGCCCTCCACCTCGTCCGCCCGGTCCGAGGAGCGCCGCGCCGTCGACAAACAGCACGCTCGCCTCGCCCGCCGCTTCGAAAAGGACACGCGCCTGGTCAAGAGCAAAGAGGCAAAGCACACGGCCTCGGGCCTCTGTGGGGCCGGAGGGTCGGTCGGGCCCAGCTTCGTGTCTCTCGAGGAGCGCAAGTTCTGCTACATGCCCACCAAGACGGTCTATCCCTTCTGCGAGGACGTTGAGGGCGGCGCGTGCTGGTCGGAGGAGGAGGACAAGGTCATCGCCAAGGGCTCGACTGGTAGAGTTGCCGCTGTCCCTGAGATGAAATTCGACAAGGTCCTGAGCTGGGGTGAGAAATAGGCCTGCTGTCGGCGATGACCTTCCGGTCGCATTAAAAGCCACAGGATTGAAACAGGACTCACGCTTTCATCTGATCAGAAAAGGGGGGTTTATTTGCTATGTTACACACTGTTTGTGATTTTGTTCTTTTCTTCACTCATTAAACCAACTTCAGATCATAAGTAGAAATCAATAAGCCACGTCCGGACAAAATGTGGTCGCTACAACAGACCCAGGATTCTTGAATGTGGACCAATACCTGCTTTATTCGAGTTTCCGCCGTAGACTCATATGGAAGCCATAATCTAAAGGTACTCTAGCCAGGATCAGATCTCAACGCGTATCAAATGGGACCAAAAGTAAATACATAACAACAAAAGGGCAACTTCAAACAGAGATAGCATTTCACGCCACAACCATACATCTAGGTAAGGGGTTTCCTGTGCTGTAGTGTGGAGCTAGAATTCACTTTTGAAATATCACATCCTGTCCCGAGATATGTTGGCATCGCAGGGCGCATGGGCTGTAGGATGGAACACCGAGGTCTCAGCGTACTTTTGAGCAGCATCGTGAATGGGGCTTTAAACCCGTGAATTCCAACAAATAGTGAGTGGATTCAAGGTAGAAAGGGATGGGAGGATCATGGAGTAGACCGTGTAGTGCTTTCCAGATCTCCACTGACGACAGCCCCTCGACGAAGGCGCCACCGCGACACGGAACCGACGCCGATTTCAATCAATCTTTTCATATAAACGGTTGAAACTGCAGACAAAATCGGAGAGCAGACCACATGTTCGTCGACTGCACCAATGGACCGGCACCGAATATCTGGAGCTCGGCATGTGCCTTCCAAAGGTCCTCACCATCGTCGGACTTTCCCCAACCATGACAATAGACTCGGTCGCTCTCAAGGAGTAACTCGGCTGAAATTTTTTATCCGCTCGACAAATATGTGCCGCGCCCTACTGCACAACATTTCGACAGGACAGGACGAGACGTACGCTCCCCGGGATTACGCAACTCGACAGAGGGGTACCAAAAACGACGCGGCCTGAGGACTTGAGGACCACACGGGATGACCTACCCACCAAGACAAAAAAAAAAACGTACAATAGGGGCGAAAAGAAGCGCATTCAGATAAGCCCCGCTTTCTTGGGAAGTGAACTTCGGCTTGTTGTCCAGCGCCATCACCTCCCGCCTGACAGACTTATCGACATTTTCCCTAATATAGCGCCAAATACAACCGCGGGTTGAGCGATGTTATTAAGACTACTTACTGTGAGGCCATAAGAGTTCCTCGTTTCTAGTATTTTGAGGATCCTGTCAAACAATTAACATGATCTCGTAATAACAGAGCTTCGATTAAAGTAAATAGTGCTTATATTAGGTGGGGCTTACTTTTCCTTCTTCTTGCCTGGCGACTCATCCTCCGAAAAGCTCACATCAAAAAAAATTCAAATTTCAAGAGTTAAGAAGTTGACAAATCCAATGAAAAAAAGAACGTGCTAGATCCTAGGAAATGCCAAAAAAGGTGTGATCAGTGGGAGGCTTGAACTCCCGGCCTTGGCATTACTGAACATGTCAGATGACATATTAGTACCACGCTCTAACCAACTGAGCTAACCGACCTTGTTGATTCTTCCAAATGATCTGCTTATGTACCCAGCCGCTGTTCCACGACCAAGGTAACCAGTGCTCTCCATCGAGGCTTGCCCAGCATGCGCCTGCGTGTAAGATGGCGGTTTAATAGAAAATGATTAGAGTACAATCTTTCACCCTATATTCATATCCCGTAACTTTAACTTTATCGCTGGCTAAGCGCATGTTCGCATCGTGCGATTGGGCCTTGCATCCATCCTCGCGCATCGACTTTTGGAAAGTTCACATGATTGGGGTGCTCACCGGCCGCATACTGAAACCCGGCGGTCTTCTCGCATTGCCTACCCGAGAGTGAACCCTATGAATGATGGCGTTTGGATCTTTGTAAGACTCAACCTCACAAGGACGGAGCTTAGCCACGGCCGGCTCACCTTAAGTCCGGAAACGGCTGGACCGCCTTATGCGGCCGATGCGGGGCCGTCAAAGAAGTCGCCGGAGACTAAGCGGCGGTCGGGCCTACGGATTTAAAATTGATGTAAGCCGAGAGCTTTTGGCTTCTAATATTTGAGGAAGTTTCTGGGTATAGGCTTTTGCCGTGATGTCGCCTTCACAACACACAATATCATCAACTACTCAATATGTCAAACCAGCTTATTGTCCCCGATAGACCCCTCACGTGGCTCATCACTGGCTGCTCTTCAGGGTTCGGCCTAGCTCTGACACGAATTGCCTTGAAAAACGGACACCATGTGATTGCGACGTCACGCAATCCCCAGAAGACCCCCGAGCTGGTCAAAGAAGTTGAGAAAGGCGGCGGGCAATGGCTACGGTTGGATGTCGATGATCTCAAATCAGGAGATGTCGTGAACGATCTTGAGAAGAATGGCACTGCTATCGACGTTCTCGTGAACAGCGCCGGGTGGTCTATCCATGGCCCAGCTGAAGGATTTACGGAAGAGGAGACCCGAGCGCAAATGGATACTGTCTTCTTTGGGACATATCGCTTGATGAGAGCCGTGGCACCGCACATGAGAGAGAGGAGGACCGGCGCTATCGTCAACATCAGCTCAGGCGCAGGGCTGGAGGGTCGAGAATCGATGGCAGTTTACGCTGCTGCGAAGGCTGCTATGGACGGTACGTAAGCATGATATTCTTAGCGTCTCGAGCTGACTGTCGCAATCGCAGGTGTCGGCAAAGTCCTTGCCAAAGAGATGGCTCCTTTTGGAGTCCGTGTACTGTCAGTGGCCCTTGGATCATTCGACACCAATATGGGCCCATCGGTGAAGTTGGCGAGGACACCGACTCCGGCGGACTATGAGGGAAGTGCAATGGAGAAGGTGTACCAAGTCATGGCGGCGTCCGCCACAGATGGATTCCCCGCAGACGGTGATCATCTGAAAGCGTCTCAAGTAATCTACGAAGTAATCACTGGCACTGGTATTGGGGAAGGAAAAGAAGCTGAAAGAGTGCTGCCCCTCGGGAGAGATGTGGCCAAGCGTGTTGACGAGGTGATCGCTGGATATCAGAGAACCATGGAGGTTTTTGGAGATATTTGCGAAAATGTATACCTTGAGAGTTGAGCGTATAGGAGAGACATCGCCCGACCGGAAGGCGACACACGTATGGCATAGAAGAACTCGAAGCCTGTATTTGGCCTTCAAAACATTGAATCTGTGTGAAGTAGAGTGATCATACCATCCTAGGATAATGTCACTATCGGTCGACCTCTTCAAGAGGGGTTACTTCCCACCCCTTTTCACCGCAACCTATGATAATTCCTTCACCGTCACTCATGTCGTTCCAACCTAGCTTTCTGAGCCCATCCGGGCCATCTTCTGCGAATGCAACATAAAGGTCCTGCCAGGCTTTAGAGACCTTTTCCTCAAATGCTGTCGAAGGACCCCTCGCCCATGAATGTGTGCCAAAGACCAAGGGCATGTCTGAACAGTGATATGCCCTAAGCCAGGGACGTGGTGAGATGTTGGGAAACGAACTGGAGCCAGGTGGCGCAAAGTCTTTGAACAAGAAGCGAAATGTCGGAGCATGGGCAGAACGCGCCCTATTTCAAGGTCAGCTTTGCGCATCTCACTCGTAGTTGAGATTGTTTATTACCTTGCCATCTTGACCATAGGTCCAAGGAAGTAACCTTTTGTAATTCGTTTTGCCACCGTTGGGTCGGGACCTTCGGGATTATACAACGCTACTGCTGTGCCTTCGTCATTCATCGTCCCACAGATCGCAGGCTGGTGATGGTCAGCTTGTAATATTCTCGTTTCTGTTGAAGACTTAGAATCAGGTAGTCTTACAAGCTTGCTAAACCTTCCGGATTGGACACGCTCTTCGTAGTCGTCAAACATGGTAAAACGGTCGACGATAGGCCTGAAACTTAAGAAAGGCCTCTCACTCGTCGCCCAGTGCTCACGGATCGCATCCACCAGCTTGCAAGCTGGCTGCTGCCTCATGAACTCCAGCTCGGCGACAGCGCCACCACCTTCGAACCCCATAGACTTTGCTAGGAAGCTGAAGTGTGTGCATTCGGGATCGGTCACTGGAAGCGGAGGCAGTGCGCAGCCAGAGTTCATAATAATATTTCTCACCAGAGGCTTGTCGGGGTACGTGAAAGAGTGAGCATCTATACTGCGAGCACCCGCGGACTGACCAAAGTGCGTCATTCGCGACGGGTCGCCGCCAAAAGATGCAATGTGCTTGTGCACCCATTCCAGACCGAGACGCTGGTCAAGGAGGCCTAGATTTCGCTCATGAGGGTTGAGGCCCGCGGCATTTGGAAAGCCAAAGATTGTGAGACGGTAGCTGCATTTCGGGATCAGTAAGATTCTGAGCCTTTTGATGAATGTTCCTTACTTGATGGATACTACAATATGTCTCTGACTGCTTTCAACCCATGGCATGGGATTTTGATATGGCACAGTTGTGCCGCCAACGAGGAATGCGCCGCCAGTGATGAAGACTATGACGGGCAGTCTGGCTGTTGATGCGCTTTCAACTGCCTCTTTTGGTGCCCATATACATAGCGACAAGCAATCTTCGGAAGTCTCATCTCTGATCTGAAGTTCAGGAACATCTGTGTTGTACACTGAAGGTCTGCCGCCTTTGTTTTGTTGCGGACAGGAGGGCCCGAATTTCGTAGCATCAATCGCTGTCGGAGGCGCTTTCGGTGTGGGAGGAAGCCAGCGTCGGGATCCTATTGGTGGCTCTGCAAAGGGGATACCGAGATATTGGGCAACATTCGGATAATCTTTGTTGATGAACCCCTTGACTGCCCCGAACGTAGAATCGACCGTGAGGTACTTAACCCCGTGTTTGCTCTCGCTTATGACCGACATCGCGGATGCTGCTTGCTCTTCAATTGACTCAGATGCGGCGAGGAACCCCGCGGAGGGGTATTTAAGCTATCGTACAGTGGGCCGGACCGCTGTTGATAGCTTCGGATTGCGCTAATGCTGCCTGCTGGATCCCTCGACCCGGGAATTGGCTGGTCACGTCACAGCGGGTCACATACACATGACGGATTTGGACTCCGGATTTGCGTGCAGTCAAGTTTTGAACGTTTATCACCTGCGTCAAAAGAAGCATTTCACCTGGAATGAAAGATAGGTAGGAGTTTGTAAATGCGTTTGAGTTAAGGATAGCAGTACGAGACAGGATACCCGCAGATACGACAACCGATACCAGTTATCACACAGTAGGTACCTATCCAGTGTTCTGCAACAAACTCAAGGATACGTTGAATACCTTAGGTGCCAATGAGAATCATAGTTGGGCATCTGAGTAATATCAATTGTAGTCACACTTCTCTAACATCAACTAAGGATGGCGTCGCCTTCATAAGTGTACTCCATAATGTTGTGTGTTCGCGTTGGTCTTCGAATACCCCCAGTTCTCGACAAAGTCCTGTGTATCTCTGTAAGATATTACAATAATTTTACATACTCGAGCGGGTGCTTTTAGCCCCTTCTTGCAACAGACACTGGACTAGGAGAGATGGCAATAACATGAATCATGCCGCGGGAAGCAAGAGGAATGATCGACTGACATGAGGACTGGATGCGGTTGGGGTAGGAAATTGCGACAACCAAGCACGACAGCGTTGAGCCCATGCCGACGTATGCAAGATAAACCACTTCATTGCGAGACTGCAATGCTCTCTTTCGGAACTCACCGCTCTACCTGTACGATTGTCAGTTTTCCAAGCCTCCCCTCAACTGCTTGGGCAGCCTGGATCCTGCTGGTTCCACTAGCGTCTTCCACAGTTACTGAGTCAGGTTTCTGAAGTTCAACATCTCCATCAGCTACGTTCTATGTGATTCTCTCTACGTTGTCTTCCTTGCTTCTTGAAGCCAATTTTCAAGCCAAGATGAAAGAAGTGGAAATACCACCACACAAACGTAAGGTTATTGTGAAGCGTATTGAAAAATCAATCATGGCCGTTATCGACGCTGTGGGTGATAGGAGTTCAGCGTTCGCTGGACTTGTTAAAACTGCACTCTTTTCGTTCTTACGAGTCATTCGTAACAAAGAGTAGACCCGGCTCGGAATTGTGTTCTGAATATTGCTATCTGCCACAGACAGTATTGTCGACACTTCCCAGAGAAATCGCGTGATCGTGAAGTTTCGCATTGTCCTATCATCGTTCGGATAACTCTCGTGTTATCACTCGCCAGTCAGTCAGGCACCTGAAATTGAGCTAGCAAGATGCAAATCCTGAAGGATGGTGCCGAGATATAACTTTCTTTCATCGATCATAATCAGTCTTCTAACTCAAGGCCAATAGAGGCGAAGATGGGGTCGAAGGGTTAACTCCGAGACGCCCTAACCGTCTGCATATCATCCACCTTCCCCATACGCGTAGCCCTGGCAAAAGTGGTTGCGGGTGCATTAGCGACAGGGTCACTCGCTTTTAGTGCGCCCAACCCAGATAGGGTCGCATACGGTCGCCGATGAACGGAGTTGGACTCCGTTACTTGAACCCCACCTCCCGGCTGAATCTGCCCGCGTCAACTACCTTCAAAGTACACGGAGGTCATCACCGAAAGCCGCTCCTGACGACGAAACAGCCCTTTTTCCTGCGATCGCCTCAATCAAGTCAAACGTGGCGTGCTTCGGAATCGTAAAGAAGCCGATTTCCCGCAGCGTAACGGCCATAGCGACAATTTTCAGCCCCCGTCGCACGAAAAGTCTGGTCAAAATGGCCTCGACGGATGGGACGTTGGTGGTGGGAGTAGACGTCGGAGGTGAGCGACCGACAGGGCCCCCGGACCCGTGTCACTTACACCGACTCTGCGTCTGGAGACTAACCGTATCTTCCAGGTACTAACACGGACAGCGTCTTGCTTAATGTCTCCAAGACCAGTGCGGACGCCGTGGTTGCATCTCACAAAGCCCCAACCACCTCCAACGTGACGCTCTCTGTCCAGGCAACTCTGAAAGCTCTGTTGGACTCGTCAACCCTCAACCCGGCGAGCATCACTGCTCTCGCCATCGGCACGACGCATTTCTTGAACGCAATCATTGAGAGAGACACATCGCGTGTCGAGAAGATTGCAGTCCTTCGCTTGGCCTCTCATAACTTTTCCACAGGAACGCCGCCCTTCGCAGACTGGCCAAAAGCTCTGAAGCGCATCATCAATGGACACTCTGCGATCATCCCTGGCGGATGCAACATCGACGGCACACTCATCGGACCCATCGATGAGGCAGCGATCCGCGAGCAAGCGGCCATCATCAAGTCCAAAGGGCTGAAGAACGTGGCCATTGTTGGGATCGGTTGCTCTACCGACAAAGACTACCACCAAGAAGAAGAGGTCTCTAAGATTCTTCGCAATGAGCTCGGAGAAGATGTCAACATTGTCCTGTCTCACAATATCGCAGGTCCGGGTCTCCTCGCACGCGAGAACGCCACGATTCTGAATGCCTCGATTCTCAACTTCGCCCAGCGGACGATCAGAGCTTTCATCGGTGCCATGCGTAGAATCGGTCTTCAGTGCCCGCTGTACTTGACTTCCAACTCTGGCCACCTTCTGCCGTTTTCCGAAGCCATGCAGGCGCCTATCAAGATCTTCTCATCGGGTGCCACCAACTCCATCAGAGGTGCTGCTTTCCTTGCGTCGGACGCGATCGATCAATCTGGCAGTATCGTCGTTGATATTGGCGGCACGACCTCTGACGTGGGCTATCTTTTGAAGAATGGATACCCTCGTCTATCCAAGAGCTACACGGCCCTGGCTGGCGTCAAGGTCAACCTCGAGATGCCTTCAGTCGAGAGTATCGGCTTGGGCGGAGGTTCCATCCTACACGTTGGCGACGATGGATCTGTTGCTGTTGGACCCGATAGCGTCGGCCATGACCTCGTTACTAAGGCGTTGTGCTTCGGAGGCGAGGTGGCCACGGCGACAGATATCGCTGTTGCATCGGGTGCAAAGATTGGCAACACCACAGTTGCCTTGCCGACCGACACTATTGAGAAGGGTAAGGCGCGAGTCAGAAAGATGCTGGAATCTGTCATCGATCGCGCCAAAATCTCTCCCGAGCCGTGCACCGTTATCTTGGTCGGAGGTGGCTCCGTTCTTTGCCCGCCAGAGCTCACCGGTGTGAGCAAAGTGGTGCTGCCTGAGCATGCTGGCGTCGCCAATGCCATCGGTGCCGCAATCGCCAAGATCTACGGCTCAGCTGAGACTATTGTCTACGGCTCAGATATCCAGGGCGGTATTGCGGAGGTCAAAGCTAGAGCTATCGAGAACGCTGTAGCCAAGGGCGGTGACTCGAGCTCTGTTACGGTCCTCCACGAAGAAGTTGCTGGTGTGCCATATGTGGAGAACCAGACCTCCATCAAGATTGAGGTTGCGCTGGCTGCGGACCATCAGCGGGTTTACTCGGAGATGACTCAGACAGCTGCCCCTGACCAACTTGTTGACGAGGAGATGTTCGAGGAGACTAAGAAGCATGAGACCACAGACGCTGGTGATGCCGACGAGGATGATACCGTCGACCTTAAAACCTACCGCCCGCAGATCGAGTCGAGCGGTCTCTGGACTCTCTCTGAGACTGACCTAAGGTTCTTGTCTATCGGCTGCTACATCCTGGGTTGCGGTGGCGGCGGGTCTCCATACGCCCCTTATCTCCAGTTGAGACAGCTTCTTACAGAAGGAGAGACAATGAAGATCATTCGCATCGAGGACTTAAAGGACGAGGAGATGATGCCGCCCGTTGCTAGTGTCGGTACACCGGCTGTTAGTATCGAGCGTCCCGGAGGACACGGCGTATGGCATGCCATGCAGGAGATGGAGAAGGAGATGAAGACCAAGTTTGAGAGACTGATTGCCACCGAGATCGGCGGAGCAAATGGCGTCGCTACCCTTATCTGGGGAAGCTCACGGTACTACGATATCCCCACGGTTGACGGAGATATGATGGGTAGGTTTCTCATACTAATGGACTCCAACACACCGTTCGTATTGCTAACACTATGTCCACAGGCCGAGCTTACCCCCAGTTTGAGATGGTCTCCCAATACATCCACGCCAAGTCCGTCAACGAGCTCCTCCCTGTAACTCTCTGCAGTGGAACCGGTCACAACGTTGTCATCCCCGCGACACAAACCGATGAGACTTCAGCAGGAATTGCTATTCGTGATGCATGCATGGCCATGGGCTCAGCCGCCGGCGCCGCCGGCCGTCCCATCCCTGGAAAGCTGATGCGCGAGGTCGGCATCCCAAACACTTACTCGTTAGCATGGCGTCTGGGACGTGTAGTCGCTTTGGCGCAGCAAGCTGGCACTGTTTCAACAGTTACAAAGGACTTGATAGAGGCTGCTGGTGGTCCTGGTAGCGCCAAGGTGCTTTTCCAGGGCAAGATTCGTGGCGTCGAAAGCACCCTGACAACTACGGCACACAGTCTGGGCAAGGTAACCGTTGAGAGGCTGAGTGAAAGCGAGATGGAAACGGATACGGATAGAATTGGCGAGGGCTTGAAGGAAGTTGTGGTTCCGTTCATGAATGAGAACCTCGGCGTTTTGGGCAAGCTTGAGGACGGCACGGAGAAGGTAAGCCTGATTACCATTGACATCTTTCCTGGCAATGATGCTAACTGTTTTGAAAAGGTCATCGCGACTGTTCCCGACTTGATCTTCCTCCTTGACACCTCGACTGGCGAAGCCATTGGTGTCCAAGAATACAGATACGGCCTAAAGGTGGCCGTCATGATCATGGCGGGCCATCCCCTTTGGGCAACCGAGCGTGCCCTCGAAATTGCTGGGCCCAAGGTCTTTGGCCTCCCCCACGATTACAAAACTGAGCTGAGCTACACCAAGCCAGTCAGTGTTATCGATGAGTTCCGACCGAAGGCATAAGATGGCGACACGTAAGATCCTTTGCAGAGGAAAACGGTGGGTGTGAGGAAGAACATCGGGACCCGCTATTACCCAACCTTGGAAGTTTATTACTATCAGAAATACCCCAAAAAGTCAAATTCTCACAAATCATCATGGTATCGGTGGCTGATCTGACCAGTCAAACTCCGGCACACCGTCAAAGAAATTCAAATCTGATTCAGCCAGGAAATTGTCGCCTACTCCAGCCCAATACGCCGATTCGCTGTCCAAAACGCTCATCGGCTCCCAGACATGTTGTCCGGGAGTTTCCAAGTCACCGCTTTGTGTTGCTATTCCCATGTTTCCTAGTGATTCACCCCCCGGTGTGATGAGAGTAGGATCGATGAGCACACCAGGCCCGGGCGAGGCCATATTGGGGGCCGGAGCGGATGCAACCGCTGGAGTCGTTGCGGCCGTTTTCGAAAGCTCCTCATGTAAGACCGGCACCGACTTGGGCACTTCTGAGGCGCTGCGAGATCCTGAGACATGTTTCTCTGCCTCTGTAGGTGGCCCAGCACTGCGACGGGTCTTCACATCCAGCACGCTCTTGAACTTCAGCCTGGCCTCTCCCGCAAGTGACCACGAATGAGCCATGTCTTGCAGTGCGTCGTCCAATATAGGCAGCAGGGTGTCGTTGGCTAGTGACGAGGGATTACTCATGTGCCTACAAGTAACTAATATCGCATTCATAGCCAAGATGCAGCCACCCACAAACAGAAGAGGCGCATTGCCGAGGGTATGTTCGCTCTTGAAACGCTGCAAAACATCCACGATGCCCTCTGCACCTGCTCTGCATACTCTGAACGACTGAGCAAGCGGATTCTTTTCATTCTCGGGTTTGTCTTCTGACAACGATGGCGTGTGTCCTATCGAAGCTATGAAGGGCAAGTTAAGGCTGATGCGTGTGCTGTGGTAGAGAGTGCTTCAACAGACAAGAGTGTGAGTACTTCTACTATTCCCAGCAACGTGAGAGAATGAAATACTTACTGTAAAATGGCCACGTTGACTTGCAGGTTATTCTTATTGGTAAACCACTTCTTCCATCTCATATTGGTCGGGAGAGCCTCATGCCAGGCAACAAGTCTGGCGTTCAGCTTATTTAAAGACACCTCAGTCCATCTCCTAGCATGCGCATCGGTCTTTTTCCTAGGCGCAAATGTCGTAGAGAGCATGTCGTGAATGATTCGGGCTAACTCTATTTGCTGGTTGAACAGCAGAGTCAATTTTGGCCCAGCCGGGCGTACCGTCTTCAGAAAGCCAAGGTCATGGGAAAAGAGCCAGTTTTCCCAAACCGGAGGTTCATGGCTATGGTTCTGTCAGCGGAAGATAAGGCAAGTATGTAAGGAAAACTAACGGCAGTGGCTCGCTCAAATTGACATCGGCGTCATTTTCGTACATGAATGTCGGGCGCCCAAGAAACAAGCTGAAGATTCTGTACATAAGTTAGAGCGCGCCACGGATTGGGCAATAATCTGCAAGACTGACTTGTCAGATAAGAAACAGCCCCAGTATATTCGGCGTCGAAACTCGTTATCGAAAGGGAACGGGGACGTCGAGTTCGGCCTGTCTTCTGAGCCCCAGTGGGTCGGTTCTCGTTGAAAGCCAATGTCCTGGCCCATTCTGAAAGCCATACCTGCCTTTCGCGTGAGCGATCGAATAATGCGGCAATGGGATCACCTTAGCGTACCAGCGAACATCCAGCCCCTCGAAATGTTTCCTTGTCCGACCTCGTAATATCCACAGCAAAGCAAAGCCTGCACAGAGGTTGGTCTCGGGGCGCTCAGGCCCTCCGTTGTCAGGATACTTTGTGCCGTATCCGCGAAACCTTGCGCCCGGGATCTGATTTCAGGATCCTTCGACATTAGGGCCCCGATTGCAGCTGCGGCATAGATCAAAGGAGGAGAACAAAAGTCGCCGTCGATGGGGTTGTCCTCGAATTCAGCTACAAAAGCCTCCCTGTCAATGAACATAAACAGTGGATACTGCCAGTAGAAGAAAAGACCCAGGCACAAACGCATTGTCTGGTTGATCAGGTTGCTTCTGTCATCCTGGAAGGGTGACTTCTTTGAGTTGCCCGATGAGCTGCCACAAGTATCTCCGTAGTCATTTTGAAAGATACTGGTTGGGCCGTGGTAAATCATAGAGCCTGGACTGTCAGTCACCAGAACATATTACATCCACTCTCTTCTTAAGAACCTCACCATCCAAAGTCTCTTGCAAGGTCGCCTTGGTCAAAGCCTCACTCAACGCTGCTTCGTCCTCCAAGGGCAAGCTAGAGAAAGACGGCACGTAGTCTTTGATCTCAACTTCGTCCAAAATCTGGTTTCGCTCATCGTTGCTAGCCTCCTTGAGCCGAGCTAAGAAGCCCTCAAGCGAGGCGATGCGAGACTCCAGTGCCGCAACATACTCACGTGACACGGGCGGCCGTTTGAAGTCGCTCTCCCGAAACTCGCACTTAGCCGAAGCTGCGGAGCAATTGGCGCACGGGAATGTGCGGGAACACCGGATCTGAGAGCGGCGCCGTTGTCAGCCGGACGAGACTTCCATAATGCGGCGGTGGCCGACGGCCATCGGCGAAGACGGGACGGGCGACATCGGAGGGACTCCGTGGATTATTAATACTGCGGTACCTTTCTCTGTTGACACCGTTTACACCTTTTTTTTCATTACATGTTTAGCATCTTTCTGATTCAAGTTGTGATGCTGAGATCAACTTACGATATCCGCTTCACGTTGTTCTTCTCCATCTTCAAGTGGGCATGCAGGCAGGCAACCACCGCCAAAGAGACGGTCAGTCGCGCGCGTAAGGGGCTGGCAGAGGTGCGGGACAAAAACCACCGCGGTCACATGACAATCAATTTGTTTTGGACCCTTTTTCACAAGTTGGCCGGTGCGCTGAAGATTGCGGGGTTGATTGAAGTGGGATGGGTGCCTGTTAACACTTGACAGCGCGATGGCTGAGAAACCCTGCTCTGAATCCCTCTGTGCAACATGACCAACCACGTTCGTCATAGACTTGCCATTTGGGGGTTCGGTTCACTAATTTTAGGTGGCAAACGAATTCGTATTTCACCAGCGTCCTTTCTGGCATACTTAGGTTCAACTCTGCAGGTTTCGTGAATTGTAATCCTGCGCTGAGAGGATGTTATCAGCATGGCCGGGGTAGAAGGATCCACAACCTAGGCAACACGATATCGCCGGAGCTTAAGCATTACAAAGCTGGGCGTGTAGCTGGACCTAGGCAACGATGAAGGCAATCAGCACGATGAAAGGAAACAGCGCAAAATCTTCCTATGCGAGTGTTTGTAAAAAAGCCACCAAAGGATCAGTGAAGACTTTACTGCTCAGATTAGTCTGCACAAATGGATGACGAGATATCGTTATCAACGAGACAGTAGGGACAAGTTGATAAGTAGGTAGGTTTTCAGCCGTCTGTGAGAGCAATTGAAGAAGTTCGTATGACTCTTGCTATTGGATGACTTGGTCACACAAGTTGCAGTCGAGTTAAGCACATGTCAACTACTGGTCTTCAAGTCTTGATCACAGACTGAAGCTGCCAGCCTTCTGATGCGCTCAGATGTATCCTTAAACTAATATTGATGTAAAATAACCTTGATATCAATTCAGTCTCATTCACATTCCTTTCCGGACCTTTCCCGAAGAGTCTGGTACAACTCGGCAATAGAATTTCGACATCCGCGCGAACAGCTTTATCTACATGTATGGGGGAGAGGCCAGTGCTCCCGTCGCTCTGTAATGTTGTTCTCAACATGCCTAATATCCCTGCTGTTATGCAATCTTTTAGCTCTACGTCTCTGAGATTTGCTAAAGACTTGACTATTTTAGTCCCGGTTGAATTGCTTCGACAATTCCAACCTTCAACCCGAACCCAAACTAGCAATCGCGTTGCAACCGCGTTGTAACGCCACCCACAGGGACCCCACCATCTTACGTGATGGGCTCGGGTTCCAAGCTTCCCTCACGCCAAAACAAAATTCCAAATTGCCAAGCCCTCCTCAATATCATTTTCACCGATCACGGAGGCATTGCGCTGTTTCTTTTGCCGCCGAAAGCTCACCCCGCGTGCGATAATGCAACGCCGAGCGGCCGGCCGAGATGTCGGATATGATACCCCGCATGCCCCTCCTATCTTTGCTATCTAGGCTATCACACCATCATGCAACCTCACCCCTCCTTCTGATCTTGCCACATTTTCACAATCATTGCGGCATACGCTAGACTTACTAAGCTTTTGTTCACCAAGGTACAAGGTTGACAGGATCTCCAGTTGCGGCTGAGTTGTCAGACACACTATTCAGACGTCACAGCAACCCAGCATGACGACTTCAAAGCACGTCGTCTTCCAGAACGGAAGGTTCTTCCGGTCAAACAAGGCGCCACCTGGACAGCGATCGGAGGCCAACTTCGCCGAGGCTCTCGTGATCAAGGACGGCCTTATCACATTCGTCGGCGAAGCTTCAGCAAACGAAGTCAAGAGCGCTATCGATGCAGGAGCTGAGGTTCGCGATGTTGGCGGCCGTCACGTCCTGCCTGGTCTTCTCGATGGACACATTCACTTGACTCAGCTGGGACAGACCTTGCAGAAACTGCCTCTGGACAAGTGCAAGAGCCTAGCGGACATCAGGAAGACTATCAAAGACCATGCCGCCGCCAACCCGGACCAGGCGCGTATTTTTTGCAGTGGCTGGATGCATTTCATGACACCAGAGGGTCCCTTAGCCTCGCTCATTGACGACTTGGACCCTCGTCCGATCTTGATCACAGCAAAGGACCTGCATTCTACGTGGTGCAACAGCGCCGCTCTTAGAGAGCTAGACCTGGACAACGAGCCGGACCCTCCTGGTGGTGAGATCATGCGCGACCCCAAGACTGGCAAGCCGAGTGGTCTGCTCTCGGAAGCAGCAAGCATGAAGTGGATTCCGTTGTACATGGCCAGGACTTCCACGATGGAAGATCGCATATCGGCAATCAAAACCGCTGTCAACGACTACACGAGTGCTGGATTCACTGGTCTCATCGACATGGCAATGGAAGAGGAGGGATGGGAAGCGCTGCAGAACTATCGTAAGCGGGAGAAGGAAGCCGGTCGACCGTTCCCTATTCGTTTCGCTGCCTACTGGATGATCCTGCCGAGGGACAATGATGCGGAGAACATCAAGCAAGTTGAGAGGGCTGCAGAACTCGCCAAAGAGTTCAACTTGGAGACGGACCCCGACTGCAGACTCGTGGGTATTAAACTGGTATGCGACGGCATCATCGATGCTTGCACAGCCTCCTTGAAGGAGCCATACAGCCACAACAACGAGAACTGCGACCCCGTCTGGTCACCGGAACACATGGGTCCCGTTGTGGAAGCAGCGACAAAAAACGGCTTGCAAGTTGCGCTCCACGCCATCGGTGACCGCACAGTCGCCAACGCCATCGACGTGCTCGAGAAGTATGTCGGCCCGGAGCATCGCCCTCGTATCGAGCACCTCGAAGTTACAACCGCGGAGGACGCCAAGCGTTTGGGCAAGCTGGGCATTACAGCCTCCGTTCAGCCTGTTCACTCCGACCCTGCCATCCTACGCGCATGGCCAAAGCTCATTGGCGAGCACCGCTGTGGACGCGCTTTCGCGTACAGCGACTTCGCCGACGGGGGAGCACCCGTGGCTATTGGTTCTGACGCGCCGACTGCGCCGCATCATATTGTCAATAACTTGTACATTGCAACTACGCGAAGGTCGGCCCGTGAGCCGGAATTGGAAACGGTCGTCAACCCTCAGTTCGCGTTGTCCATGTGCGATGTTGTGGCTGGGGCCACGGAGGGGGCGGCAAGGAGTTGTTTCTTGGACGATCGTGTAGGATCATTTGAAGTTGGCAAGAGGGCTGATTTGGCTGTATTTGATCTTGAATGGAAGCCCGAGAAGGCTCTGCAGGCAAAGGCTGTAGAGACTTGGTTTGAGGGACAGCAAGTGTTTCCTGGGCAGGTTTGAGGCCTAGCGGATGGAGTTTGGTATCGCGATAGATTAGATCAGCATTAGGCAAGGAGAGTAAATATACGAATGAGTAAGGAAGTAGCAGGAGTCGCAATCGTAGAACTCGGCACTCAGTATCAAGATCCTCATCTACTTACGCATTTCAGGTACTTCATGCTCTTCTCACCAGATCCATCCAAGTACAAAGTGTGCTACTGTGCTAGCAATCCAAGCACGACCCAGGACAATACAAACACATTATCATCGAGCGTCTGGCTAACCTTCGGCAAATCCTTCTTCGTGATACACAATGGAAGCTACAAGATGAAATGAGCCCCAACTATAGACGTCAAAGTCAAAGCAAGTATGACGCATTTGCTCACAGCCAACTGTCTAGACTCGCTCTTGTTGTACTGAAGCTCCTTCTTGAGAGAAGCGTAGTCGATCCACTCGCATTTTCCCTGAAATACTTCCTTGGTGTAGTTGAACTTCCTACCCTCAGCTTTGAGCTCGTCTATCTTCTTTCCTGCTGCCTCTCTGACACAGTTTGGCCAATTGATGGCTACCTCTGGTTGATGGGTGAAGCATGCCATGGATTGGCAAAAACGCTGTGTCGTGTACACATTCGTGCCATTCCGGATGCTCGGACAGCAATGTTCGAAGAGGTCAAAGTCTGCTCCAGGGCTCACGAGATATCCGCGAGTAAAGATAACGTCATTTATCGTGCGGCAGACAATGGGCACCCCGAGGTCAGGGGCAGGCCGCGCGCACGCGTGTGGATTTTGGTGCCATCGCTCTTGGAGCTAGAGAGATACGTCAGACACATATGTTAGATCGGAATAGTATTCAGACTTCAGAGAGCACGCAGGGAGCCCATTACTTACATGTGTTCGATGCGTTTCGTTGACCACGGGGATTTGGTCCATGGCGGGCGAACGTGTAGAATGGCTTGAATGACGGATCCCCCTTCAAAGAAGGCTGACGATGTTGACAAGACTTTGACTCCGCGCTACTGTCAGGTGGGCAATTTGGCCTAAGTCTCTCTTATAGGTGGGTACGGGCAATGCTGTCACAAAAGATTGAACTCTCAGCTGTCTCTTTAATGGCCAACCCAGGATGACGTATGTTATAGATTCAAAATTACATAGCTGCTGTGCCGCAGCCCTTTCAAACTTGACTGGCTGTGGCAATCAGGCTCAGTTCGACAGTTACGGTCACATTCATGTAGCTGCTTTGACATTGCCTGATTGGTGGTGCCAATCAACCCCGAGTCCGCCAAGCCAGGCTTGGCGCGTGAATCGCTCAATCCAGACGGTCCAGACTCTACAGTATTTATTCGGCTGTCTTGGAACACGAGATTCATAACCAACCGGTTGCCTCTTAATTTTGTTGGACCAATAAAGCTCTTCCCATCTTCTGTCAACATCTTCCAACAGCATACGAAGCTCGCGTATTTCTTTCAAATCACCTTTGCGGCCCGTCACAAGGACGGTCGATAACCCTGGACACAACACAACTTCAAATAAGACTTCATGCGGTTGGAATATCGAATTTCTTGGCTTGCCTCTGTTGGAAGCTTGCAGACTTGGCGAACAGAGTATTGCCCTCAATGCCCATCGTGGCTCGCGCTGTAGATCGGCGGAACACCTAGTCGCGGAACTGCATGTTCGAAACGCGAAATGTAGAAAAGGAAGATATTGCGCTGCTGCGCCTCTCACGAGCAGTTATTGGACCGAGAAATTCGAAAGACATCTTCGGAAGAAGTCCAAACGAACTCCTTTCAGAACCATCAGCTGATCATTGCGAGCCTCGTCAACATGAGAAGTGCCTCAACCAAACCTCGAGGCAGAGAGCAAGTTATTTTGGAGTTGAAACAGTCAAGAAATGGTCTGGACCGCCCTCGCCTGGAAGGTGTGGAGGATGAATGGCAGGTGGGGGCTGTTGGTGCGCGAGACTTTGGGCTCGGTCGAGATGAGCATCGTGACTTCACTGAGCTGCTTGGAACAGCTGTACGGCGAGTGAGTGTTTTGGGCTATCTTCAGATGTGTCTAGTATACTAGCATTTACTTCATGACTTGTAGAGGCGCAGGTCAATCCTGGGATGAGGAGTGAGGATGAAAATTATTCAAAGCTGGCTTGATTGTTCGCCGAAAGCTTTCAATTCTGTTCTTCACCATCGCCTCGCTCAGGTTATGCTACTGACAAGACCCTTTCTTCTCTTCTATATACAAATCCCAACTCTTTCTCACACTCTATCTGGTCATTGGCAACCATGTTGAACCGCCTCCTTCTACTCTTGCGCGCGGCTGGACACGTCTTACCGAGAGATGGCGACAGCGTTGACCGGTACACTGTTTGTGGTCAAGATCGTGGGTATGTTTTCGAATCAACAGTCACATACAATTGATTTGTTCTTGTTCCAGATGAGTATATATGCTGAGAAGATGAACAGATACACTGAGCAAGACTCGTTGGAAGCTGCGCAGTACTTGACGAACACTGTTGTGACATCTGATGCCTTTTCAATGGCCAGACATGATTGCATTTTTGCGCACGTCAACACGACTGTGGTCAGTCTCTGCAACGGCAGTCAGCGCAACCGCACCATCAACCGCGACGAAGCTAGACGTGGTGTCGACCAACTCATCAAAGACTGCGGTCTCAATGGCGGCTTCACTGGTATCCACGTCGTCAATAACTTGACCTTCGCCGCCTATGGTGTCGGAGGGATCAGTCTAGCTCCTCCCGGTTCCAATCCTCCTGATGTTCCTGGATCGAGGAAACGCTCGCTAGGGCGATCCCTTTCCAGGCGCGACTGCGCGTGGGCTTACGACGGTGTTCCACACTTTGACTGTGACGCCAAAAACAGGCTGAATGAAGATGGATCTTGTGGTGGTCAGATTGTGCCTGAGAGCAACTGTCAGGCTTTCTGCGAGCTCCGCAGGACTGGTTTCCTTGGCCATGAGGAACGAGCACCTGGCGAGGGAGGGAATCAGATGCTCCCAGGCGAAGCCAAAGAACTTGGTGGAGGTTTCGAGACCTCTATTTCCAACGGCTTCTCCATCGGTGTCGAGGGAATTTTCAAAGAAGTCATCGGTGCTGGTGTTAGCTATGAATGTGCGTAGCGTGGGTTCCAAAACGATGTTCGTAGTAGAAGCTTACTGGAATTAGGGTCAATTTCGAGGACGACACTTATAACTACAACAAGATCCATGAAGGACGTCAGCTCGGAACAGTACTCTCGTTGGGTCTTTTTTCCTAAGCTTATCGAGAGTTGCGGTACCGTCTCGCGCAAAGCATATTCAGCCCCGACCCCGTGTACTGGGTTGTACTGCACCGGTCTCCCAGCAGACGATCCTGACTGCGTTGGAGATTTGGAGAATGTTGCTAACGTATGCTCGCTGGTACCGAAGCTGAACCCAGACGACGAACCTGAGGTTTTCTGGGCCGTCCGTAAGTTTGGTTTCTGCGTTTTCCATGACAAAGCAAGGGACCACGGGACATTCTTGTCAGCTGACTTTACACTTCCCTGTTACAGTCTACGAATATGAGGATGGGACTCCTTTGCCCTTCGATCAGCAGCATTTTTCATACAAGACTCCTTGCGTTAGTGACGACCCAGACGGCGATGGAGAGAAAGAGTGTTACAACCATATTCCTGCTCTCATGCTGGCACCGAACTACGAAAAGCTCGAGGAAGCCATTGGAGCAACCAGTGCTTAAGTTGGCGGGCTCAGCACCTGCCGATGATATACGCTGATAGGAGACAAGCAATATACAGAGGCATAGATTCTGAAGTACACGCGACATTTGGGAGATGTCTCATTGCTAATTTACGTTCTGATCTTCCTCGTAGTTTCTGCGAGATTCGAAATCATGTACACGAACACGGGGTTCTTGCGGATTGATGTTTTTCTTTATCTAGTTTGACTCGTGTCAGAACATTTCTATAGCAGTATGAAGAATCATATCACAATTCTAGTCCAATTATCGTTTCAAATTTACTGTCCTGTGATGATTCAGCACAAAGCTTGAGAACTAGCAAGCTCCAGAAGTAGGAAGATATGAATTCTTCGTACTACCAAATATGTGGTATCTTCTGCTGACTGATGAATACATCTATGGATCTATTTGATCGTGGTGTTGTGGAGAGGGAGCTGCCCCGGCCGACTCGCGCCTAATTCAGATACCCAGTAGGCTACCTTTGGAGGGGTTTTCTGTGGTCAATCCAGACCCTCGTAAATATCTCTGTCAAATTCATACGGCAGCTTATAAAGTGTGCCAGCGGGCAGTAATGTGCTATGCAAAGACATAATTGAAACCTTAGAACAAGGGGGGAGAGGAGGAATCATTGTATCAAGACATCTGTTGGCCCACTTCTTAAGGGGTCTTCATTATCCGGGGATATAATTGCGATTCGTCTCGGCATAAAGACGTGAACTCCCGGACGTACTTGAAGTCTCAGCGTGGTCATACAAGTATAGCAAAGATACCGACCAAGGCTGTGGCCAGGGCCATCAACAAGTTGCTAGATTGAACAGCAGGGGCGACGCTGAAAAACATACCTCTGCTCCTCCTAACTTCACCCGAGCTACCTACCTCCAACTTCCTTCGCAGCGGCTGGCATAGACTTGTTGAAAGACTTGTATGTGGCCTTCATGCCGGCCTGAAGCTTCTTGATCGAATCGCGACCTCGGTAGTTGCTCCATGTACGGTCCAAAAGCCCTGAAAAATCGTTAGCAGCAGGTACATCCCCTATCAAAGGCAGACAACAAGCCCGAAACACGCAACTTACCCCAAAAGTCCTCAACATCAGCTTTGCCTTCACGGATGTAATAGCTGCCGCCCATACTCCAAACCATCCACCCAACACTCCTATGAACCATCAAGTCCATTAAGCACTTGTGGAAGTTCTTCTCATACTCGCGCTTAGTATCCGACTGATCATGGCCCCATTCGCTCATGATCAGCGGCGCCACGTTGGCTTGCCCCTTGGTCATAACGTCCGCGCCCCAGCCATCGAGCATCCCGTAGTATCCTTCACAGTCCATGGACAGACCGTGGTCGTACTGGTGCAGCTCGAAGACGAACTTGTTCTTGAACGGCAGCTCCGCGATGGAGAAGTTCCATCTCGGCTCGTCGGCGTACCACCCGTTAGCGGGCGCCTCGATGTCGATGCCGCCCAGCCGGCCGCCGAAGAAGATGAGCACGTCCGGGTTGGCGGCGTGGATCGCGCTGGCGCTCTGGACCATGCGGTTCCCCCACGTCTCCCACGTTTTGGGCTCGATGGCGGGAGCGACGGGGGGATTGTCGTAGCTGAACCGCTCGCGTATCTCGTTGCGAAGACCGATGCTTGAAAAGGACTTCCAGTTGGCTTTGCCCTATATCCATGTGTCAGCACATTGAGCAGCATGACTAGAGTGAGACGGGACTCACATACTCTGCCATGTAAGACAAGCTCCTAATCCAGTTGGTAGTGTTGAAGTAAGCATCGCCAAACCACCCGTTCCCGTCGGCTACGTTACAGCACCACCCAGCATTGGACATGTGGTTATCAAGATGCAGGTAGATGTTCTGACGTGCCAGCTCATCAGCAACAGCGTCCCACACTTCAAGACGCTTGGTGCTCTCGTTGAAGCTAGGATTGTTGCTGACGATCTGTTTCATGACCTTGGTGCCGTTCTCCGCGCCGAGCGCCTTCTCCAGGGTCGCTTTGAGAGTCACGTCGCCTCCCTTGTCGACGATGTCGTCCACCATCTCAGTCGCGAACGTCAGGCGCACCGAGTTGAAGCCGGTCTCGGCGATCTTGGTGACGATGTTGGAGATGCTCTGAAACTGCAGGCCTTCCGGTAGCATGGTCTGCTCATGGCCGGGCCAGTTGGCGCCGACGAGGGCGACGGTCTCGTTCTTGGCGTCGAGGATGTCTCGGCCGATGACGGAGAGAGGAAGATGTTGAACCTCGCGCTGCGCGAGACGCTCGGAGGCCGATGTGAACGGCAGCGTGAGCGCGCTTAGTAGCGCCGTTGTGGTGGTATGAAGCCGGCGCATGATGGATCGCTAGAGTTTCGTGGGCCAGACGAGAACGCCTACTTTCGGCCTTAGGAGGTACGGACCTATAGCTAGGGGTCTCTGCAGAGGTCAAAGAACACGAGTGAAAAAATGGGTAGGAATTGAGCGGATCGACGAGGAGTCCTCGTTAATGGACGTCCTATTAATTGAGGGTACTCATCCTCACTTCTGTCAAGGTCCTCGCATATCCCTCCCGGGCCTCAATAAATAACAGCAATATTGCACCACTCCAAGCCTTCCATCCTTGGAGTCTCAAAGAAGCATTTCTCAAACTTTTCCCCTGTGCCAAGAACTAGTCCTACGATCTTCTTTAGCTGATATTCTTCCAGAATCAGGACCGTCTAGCCGGGGAGGAGAAGCCTAATATTGAAAAAAGCATTCCCTCATCCATCAAGGTTAAGGATGACGGTCGAAAAGATCTGCTCGGATATTTGCCGTGATAGGGTACTGGAGGCACCAATACACCAATGTGCTGCCGAAGCTTCGTCTGATGTGTGAGCCGGCTGTCACCGATGACGTATGAGCATGCAATGAGCTAGGCGTTGAACCCCGCGCATGACGGCATGGAAAACAGGAGAGGCGTTGGAGTGCAACAAAAGGCCTCTGAAGAGATGGGTAGGCTCGCAGCGCTCGGCGAAGGAAAATCGTGGCTCAATCGAGGCAATAGGAGATCACAGTGGATTGCGGCAGTTTGGAATCAACGATGAAGGTTAAAGTTAGAGACGAACCCACACATAGCAGAGTATCATGCAGTTACGCACTTGTTTTCAATGATGGCTGCATTGTATTGATAGTTACACAAGAGTGCGTAAAGTAAATACATGAAGAAAGTTTAGGTTTGGGTTATCTGAGTAGTTACTGCGACCCTATCTACTTCATGTTCTGAAGAAGGTAGCGGACGCCGGCGTAGGTCTCCTCACCAGTGGGAACGATCTGGCTAGCGGGCAGGACGAAGCCGTAGTTACCGGTATCGCGCAGCTCCTGGGTGAAGGTGTAGTCGGCCTTGACGACGTCGTTGACGTAGTCGACACTGCTGCCGGTCGCTTTGTAGATGGTCGTGCAGATGGGGCCGTACTGGTACGAGGTGCCGTGGACGGCCTTGATAGCGGCGACGGCGCCCTTGGCGAGAGACTGCAGCTCGGTATTCTTGGAGGAGACGGCGGTGCACGAGTAGCCGTAGGGGGTCATGAAGAGCTGCGAGTAGGAGTGGAAGTCGATGAAGAGCTTCAGGCCCTGCGCGGCCTTGGTCTTGGACAGCCAGGCGGAGAGGGCAGCGGTCTCGGGGGCGTCGCCGGCGGAGGCGCCCTTGAAGTCCTCGGCGCAGGGGTCGGTGGAGGCGCCGCCGGTGACGGACCACTGGTAGGGCCAGTTGCGGTTGATGTCGTGGCCGAGGCAGCTGCTGCCCGAGGTGGTCTGGCGGTTCTTGCGCCACAGACGGTTGGTGGTCTGGGTGTAGATGAAGCCGTCAGGGTTGACGACGGGGAAGACGTAGAAGTCGTACTTGTCGACGAAGCCCTTGACCTCGGTGTCGGTGGAGTACTTGGTCAGCAGGTTGTAGGCAATGTACTCGTTGGTCATCGTGCCGATCCACTCGCGGGCGTGAACGGTGCCGTGGAAAACAACGGCGGGCTTGGTGCCCTTGGAGCTGCCGTAGATGTGGATGCCCGTGATGGTGTTGCCTTGGAGCGAGCTGCCAGAGGTAACGATCTCGGCGTTGTTGGGGTAAGATGCCACCAGGTCCTTGAGGAACTGCAGATGGTCGGCATACGCGTGGTAAGAGTTGAACCAAGTGGTGTTGGCGGATCCAACTGGAAATTGTCAGTGGTAGTCCAGATTTGTGATTGGATCTTACAAACCGGCGTAGACTGAGAAGCTGGACTCATCAGCAATGCTGAGGCCGAGATCCTCGTGCATGGTCGTAACGTTCAATCCCGAGATCTCGGCGTTGAACTCGTCGACCTGCTCAGGCGGGACGACAATATCGGCCAAGGCGCCGGCTCTCGGAACACCCTTCCAGGTGTTCAATTGAAGCTTGTTGATGACGCCGTTCACGCGGTCGACCTCGTCGCCGACGGACACACGGAAAACCTTGGTGCCGTCGTAGCTCACCCGTTGGGAGCTAGCCCCCGCCACGGCGGCGGCAGAGGCGGCGGCGATGGTGGTGGAAAGGACAGCGAGCGACTTCATCTTGACAACGCGTGATATCTTCGAGAGTGCAGAGACAAAACTTCACCAGCGCAACCGGTGCGCGGCGTCGTCTGGTTATATAGTCGTTCGCGAGACCGATGAGGGGAAGGCGACAGAATCAACAAGGACAGCAGGATCGGACCGTCGGGGATCGCCTGGAGGGTTTTTACAACCTTCCTTTTCAGGTCATGGCGACCCGTGTCGAATGCACGCCCAGCTCGTCAGATATCTTGGCTTGAGGGACAGGAGACCTGCCCGATCAAAACAAGGCGCGAAGAGACAACTCACAAAAGTCCCCGCCTGGGCAAGCATGCAGGGTAGCTTCTGGTGCCGTGTATAGAAGCTGGACAACCTTAGCTGCCTGGCCAGCTTTTGGAGCCAGATCTGAGGGGGAAGGTCCATGACTCTACGTAGGTTCTGGCTGGGAGATTTTCCGTCTTCTCGAGAGGGGGGAACGACCGGGGTTCAGGGAAGAAGCAATTAAGGTGCCAGCCAGCAGCCATCAGACGAGGGGTATGCAGGCGCGAGCTAATAGGCTTGCCGTTTGACCGCTGACGGGACGATTGGGGGCGCATTGAGCTTGTTGTCCAATACATCCGTCCGGTTGGCCATGGTTCTTTTGTTTCTCGTTCGACCGGCGTCACGGCTTGATTAAGCAGTTCGGGAGGGAGGCGATAATTGACTGGTAGAAACAGGGGTGGACTAGTGCAACCCAACCCAGCCCCCCCGCGGTCGTTAAGCAGATCCAGGCAGGTCAAGTGCCGGATTGCACGCAGCCGACCTGCCGGAACTGGGGTAGCGCGGCGGTAAGGATTCAGGAGTTTGGGGGGATCGCGCTGTTGACTTGGGGAAGAGAAGCTTCGCGGAGGCTAAGGCAGGCCCTGCTGCATGAGCCGCTTCTCTGCAAAGGATGCTTAATCTAGAATGTGGTATACTGGAACTGCGGCTAACATTATGGAGTGTGAGAGCATTTGAGGCGTTTTCATACGGTAATGGCGAGCTTGGAGCTGAAGATGGCGATGCATGGCTCTACGCGAACCTTCAACGTCGGGTCATTTTGAGGTTTAGAACAGTGAGTTTAGCGAATGGGGCCCCAATTAAGGCTTATCTGCCATCACAAAGTCCGATACGAACTCATGCGGAGCAGCCCGACATCCTCTCACTCAGGTTGGCAACGCTGTTCTCTGCGAGTCTGCTGTTGAGACAAGAAGGACAAACGGACGACATGAGATTATGACATCTCATGTTAAGGTATGATGTCAGTTCGCGCACAACAGAAAAGTGAGAGCCGGGGATGAGATGGGCTCCGAGCACCTCGCAGTCCGGTGTTCCACAAGGAATACGACACGTAGGCGGAGATCTGTATCTGCCGTCTGTTTTGGAGGAACACCGCTCGATCAGTGAACAACAGAAGCATGCGCGAGAACTAATTCAACCTAATGTTATTACTTTAATACGTAAAAAGGTCTCGGCTGAATAGTCGACTCGAAAGGACATGTCGCAATCCGCACTTCATCCTTCACGAATTTCGGCCGCCTCGGGCATTGTGCACGGACCTTCTCACCATCAGATGAGGTAAGTCCACATTCGCAAATTTCCAGCAATCGCAATAAACCTGTAGAAATGAGGACATGGTTTGTTTGGTACGCTGAAAATAATTGCAAGTAATTCTTGATCTCTAGAAGATAGTCTATAGGCAGTTCAAAAGCTCAAAAAAACAAGAATGATGGACGAACAGGGAATCGAACCCTGGACCACTCACATGCTAAGCGAGTATTATACCACTAAACCATTCGCCCATTGTTGAGGAAAACGTGCAAGAAACCCGACCATGATGCCTTCGTCGCTCCGGTGCCGCTTCCACCCCCGCCCTCCCTCGAGCTAACTGCCCCCGAATGTAATTATTACATCGGATCTCACCCCTCCTCGTTTACCGCGCATGTCGTCTGGCTATCGGCAAAGCACCGAATCCGCCGAAAAGCCATCCACGTCGATGACTTCATGACTGTCTCAACTGTGCGATAGTCACATCAAACGCTTCAGGTTCCCGCCCGATAATGTCCTTCATATGACTCGTCACCACGGCTGTCTCTCCCGCCCGAATAGCATCCCAAGCAGTCGCCCACGTCCTCGCCTTCTCCTGTGACCCGAAGCGCGCGACGACCTGCGGCAGCTTGACGTACTCATCAACATCCACCTGGCGAATGCGAACGTCCTTGCCGGCGACTTGCCCCAGAACCTGCACTGTCTCCTCCAGCGACCACTCCCTCGAGCCGGTGAGGAGGATCTTCTTGTTGACATAGGCAAACTGGTCCGGATCCCACGAGTAGTTCGCAATGAGCCGCGCCGTCGCCTCCCCGAGCTCGTTGCGCTTGACCCACGCGACACCGCGCCCGGAGCCGTCGTGGGGTATGAGGATCTCGTCCGCCGGCGCGTTGATGTCGAAGAAGGCCGTGTAGATCGGGTACGATTCTGAGTAGAGCCCCTCGCGGATGGAGGTGAAGGTGAAGTTGGGGTCGGAGGCGGCTGCTTCTGTGAGGTGGCGCTCGGAGTCGAGGTGGGCTTGCATCACCTCCGCTATTGAGGTGTCCTGGTAGTCGCCGCCGAAGGCCAGGGAGCTGTAGAAGATGTGCTTGATACCGGCGCGGCGCGCTGCGTCTATGGCGGGTAGTTGCACCTGACGGAATTCCTGTGAGATGGTCTTGTCCCTACACAGTGAGGGGCATCCTTACCTTTCTTCGGTAATCGTGCACATGGCTTGGATAGGAGATGAGGAAGAGGACCTCGATGCCTGCAAACGCGGCTTCTAGATCGGAGGGGCTTGACTCGTACGAGGCCTTGCGCACTCTGACTCCGTGTTCGAGATGCTCTTGCGGGATCCTCTCTGGGTATCGGTTGATGAGGATGATTTGATCATTAGGGAGGAGCTTGCGCAGGTACTCGTAGGTACTGCCGCCCAAACCACCCGAGCCTGGAAAGATGCCGATAGACTTCATCGTGCCGCTCACGATGCTCACTAGCGCTGATCGGATGATAAGATTATGAGTTGAACTATGAGTCCGCTTCTGTGTCTAGCCGTTCACGCTATAATCTGGCCTCATGCGATGAGTTAGCTAGGCGGGTGGTGAAGATAAGATAAGATGATAAGCCATAACATGATTGACGCGCATGATCACATCACGACCTGGAACTCGCTTGGCAAGGGACCTGCACCCACATTGACACCCGCATTACGTCACCGCGTCACTATTTACAGATTTTTAACCAGGCATGTTCCCTTGCACGGCAGCATTAGTAAGGCGGGATCGCACGATACGGAGCCTTGTTTTCTCCAGCACGTGTGTCCGTTTCCCCTCCGACTCGTCAATCTAGGGCCGATCCCGGGGCCGTGGGTTTGAGGCCGCCGATCACCGGCTTCCCTGCTTTTGCGGCCCCGCATCGCGGCCTTGATCGGCGCTTAGGGCGGCTTTGACAGCGTGCAGAGATCTTCAGTATGCAAGTTTATGTGAGTTCTAGAATGGTCCATGACAACATCTAGTGTCCCATTGGAGAGCTATTCTTTTTTGGGGAAAAATATGTACATGAAGAATGAAAATGCCAGCACCCGAATCAGGGCGGGGTTTACTTCCAGGAAGTGGTCGCACCCCGCTTCGCTCCATCGACAGGCAACAAGAAGTCGCTGGCCGCGATCTTGCCGTTCTTGTTACGCGCACCCGTGACAAGGCCGATGTCAATGCTCTTGAAGCTCGCGTTGGTGAGCAGAGGGGCCGAGTTGTCCCACGAGTTGTCTCTGGAGATCTGCGCGCCGCGCAGGGTGACCTGGCCGCCGTAGGTGACGTTGGTTGGGGAACCCGGGCGGTTGACGGCGGCGATGTTGCGCTCGAGGACGCCCGTCGCGTTGACGCTGCGGAAGCCGACGGCGCCGTTCCAGACGGAGGTGTTCTCCTCGAAGAGGAACTCGCCCGTCTGGGAGTTGTCGGTGAAGCCGTTAGCCTTGTTGCCGAAGGCGATGCAATTGACGACATCGCGCCCGGCGGGGAGGATGTCGCCTGCGCTGCCGCCGCCGAGCTTGAAGCCGTTGCCGTTGCCGGTGAAATCGGGAAGGTCCTGGACGACTGGTCAGCTCTGGAGTACAGGAAGTAATGGAGTGAGAGGTCGACTTACCCAGCGGTTGTAGCCATTGCCCCAGGCGATGCTGTTCTTGATGGTCAACTTGGAGTGGAACTCCCTGCGAGTCGTTAGCAACCGGGACATCATGTCTGTCACAAAATATTTACCAAAAGTCAACTCCATCGTCAGAGTTGTCCCAGAACCTGCTGCCGACAATGATGTTGCCCTCTCCCTTACCCTCCTTGATGGCAATACCATCGGCATTCTCACCGTTGTTCCTGGGATCGCGGTTTCCGTACGAGTCGAGGTACGAGATAACGTTGTTGGACAGCGCACCCTGCATGTGGAAGCCGCTCTCGTAGTTATCCCGAGTGACGATCTGGTTGAAGCGCAAGTTGCTGCTGTCCTTGACATACACACCGTAGGGGCCGTGGATGAAAGTCAGGCGTTGGAAGTTCCAGTAGTGGATGCGCTCAACGTGGAGGACGCCGCGCTCCTTGGCGGGGATCGAAGCACCGACGGGCGCGGGCGTGTTCGGCAGACCCTCGCCGTCGATGATGACTACCTCATCCGTGGCCGCACGCAGGGTAATCGGGGCCTGCGCGGTGCCGTTCACGGTGATGTTGATATTCTTCAGGAGCTCGTATGTTCCGCCGCGAAGGATGACAACGTCGCCGGGCTGGGTGATGTTGATGGCGGCTTGGATCTCGCCGAACGGCTTGGCCGAGCTGCCGTCCGGGGTCGGGTTGCCGGTGGGGGCGACGTAGATATTGGCCGCCAGGGCCAGGGGTAGGCACGAAACAAGTGTTGATAGAAACAACATAATGGGCAGTTGTGAAAGAGTGTAAAAGTTGGGTTGACAAACAAAACTTCGCAGTTACGAAACGATA